TCCAAAAATCACACAGCAGTCAATTAACACTCAATCACATAAATCCCACTTAAATTAATGCTTAAATTTGTCCTAAAACTACCGGAATTCATCCCCAATTTTCAGCCAAATTTGGACATCACAAAGCAACAAATTAAATGGATAATTTCAAGCTTGGAGGGCTGTCAACATACTAGAAAATCCCAGCAAAATTGGAGCTGCAGATTGGGGAAGTTGCCGGCGGGAATTTGGGGAGAAACTCACGGGCTACCAAAATTCAAGAACCAAAAGCACAAATTAGAGTAACCCAAGTTAGTTTAAGGCTAAAAGGAGGAGACCCATGGCTGTTCTTACCAGAAAATCAAAGCAATTCGCCCCCACAAAGCAGGAGCAGCCGGCGGTGAGGAAGGAAGAACAGAGAAGATCCGGGGTTTTCTGCAGAGGGGAAAGATTTCTGGGTTCTAGAACAAGAAAAGAAGGAGAAATCTTCAAGCTTTCAACCGATTTCTCAAGTGGAAGAGGCGTCGGTGGCTGGGTTTGTTTTTGGGCTGCAACGGGAAGAAAGAAGAAGAGCAGAATCGGGTGAGGAAGAAGAAAGAAGAAAAAAACCAACCGATCCTTATAAAAAATCTTTTCCCTTTTCAAGTCCCTAAACTTTCAAAATGTTGGCCATTAAGCCCCAAATAATATTTTCTCACAATCAAGTCCCTAACTTAAATGATAAAATTCCTGAAAATTTGGGATATTATACTAAAAATAATCTTTTCCACCACACTTTGATTTGGAAACTCCTCACCATGATGTTTAATTCAATTGACAACATCCATCCATTTGTTTGAATATTGATGAACTATTTTTGTGTCTTTCATTTTCAACATCTCAAATTGTTTGAGGGTTACAACCTTGTCAACTTTAACCTAAGAACTTGTTGACAACCACCTAAATTTTTTTAAAAAAAATTTATATATAATATGAAAAATTAGGTGTAAAAAAAGAAAAGAAAAGAAAAAGAGATACCACTTGTCCAAATTATAAGGTAAGACAAGTTACTCAAAACATGATTTGTGCAAAGATTAGGGTTTGGGGGTATGATTAGAAGTGAGAAAGGGTATATGTGCACCGCACAATCCTCTGTGTAGAACACAATTGCATAACATTTGAAAATTTATTCAACTTTTATTATTTTCGATTTTGATTAAGTTAACTAATACAAGTAAATGGATGAAATTGTGAAGCTTAAAAATACTTGGATTGAATTGAACAAAATCAAGAACATGCATGCACAATTGTGACAAAATTTAAAATAGAGGAACCGATTTGATTAAACTTGAAACATGAAGGACTAACTTGAAAAGATTTAAAATTGGTGAGACAAATTACTAAATCTTAAAAGTTTTGTGGGAAATTGGAATTTAATAAAAGATAATTTTGACCTTTTTTTTACCTAATTAAGAAAAACAAACAATTTAAATTGATTAATCAACATATCATAATCATTTTATTTATATCTTTTTACCCTTTTTATCTTTTACTTTTTTTTTTTTATAGTTTTATAGTTTTTTTTTTGTTGGTTCATAAACCCACCGAGTTTAACTTGACTCACAAAAGCTATTTCTTTTTGTTGATGAGGAAACTCTATATGAATGATATGTCAAGTGAGGATATGATGATATGAACAAAGAGACATTGAATTGATACTTACTCTGTGGAGCATGATATTCATGAATGGATGACATGATGAAAGGCTTGGAATTCTTGACAAAAGATGAAAGATTTGAAATTCTTGACAAAGGAAAAGAATATTTTCCTTGCTATCTCAACAAATTACAATAATTTCTTTCCTAAAATATAAAGGTGATATCTTCAACTCATGGGTCGTTGAATCATTTGAATGGCTTAGCTTCAAATTTCTCAAATTTTGCCTCCAGCTTTTTAAGACAATCATATATTTTTATCACTCAAACCACATTGGAATTCCAAAAGCTTTCAAATCCTTTAATAAGGACTTTGTTTGGCTTGTAACGTGGTCATTGGTTTGGTTAATTTGAAGGAAATGATATTAGGCTCAAAATGCCCCCCCATGCCATCTTAAACCTAGTGATTATAATCATCAAAATATCTAAAGTTTCAAAACCTTCAAAAAGGACTTTTGTGTCGAGTTGTAACGTGGTTTGGGGTTTGGTTATTGAAAGAATGGTCATTAAAAGCTCAAATTCCCAATTTGCCCCCAAGTTGCATGCCTTTTCTAGGAGCTTCATTTATTTTAAAACTTCTTTCTTTTTCCTTTTTTCTTTTTTTTTTTTTTTTGGTTTTCTTCCTTTCGTATCACTCTATTTTGCTTCCTTGTAGAATCTTTATTTTATTTTAAGTTTTTACTTTGAGTTTTTTTTAATATTTTCATGGGCTTCTCTCTCTCTCTCTCTCTCTCTCTCTCTCTCTCTCTCTCTGTTTTGCTTTTAAGGAGAAATTGCTCTAGGCATGTAACTAAATTCCTAGGTTTTAGAATGGGTATCCAAGAAAAGATTAACAATTTTTAGGCTCAAATTGGTTGACTAAAGATATGTCTCTTTAAGTTTAAGTGTTTAGGAGTAAAGAGTAATAAAAGATGGCCTTTGATCCTTAGAGTTTGAACTTTTAGCATTCTTAAATGATGACAATCACTTAGCTTAAGCTAGCATACCCCTCATTTTGCACTCAACACTCCCTAGGTTCAAGATGCAAGTATCAAAGGAATGATCATTTTGGCTTTTATTCTTGATCTTTGCCTTTATTTTGGGTCAAAGTGGGTAACTAAGGATGATCTTTGTGTTTGGGATAAAGAAATATGGCCTTTCTTCATTGAATCTTTCCACCTTTGAACTCCTTTGTGGCTTTTCTCACTTCTTTTTTCTTTTTTCTTTTTTTACTCTATTATTATTATTATTATTATTATTATTATTATTTTGTTTTTGCATCATTGCCCAAATC